CAGGTTCAATTCTCGGGGTCTACACAGATACTGTACATGGGTAGGGTGAGGTCTAGGGATCGAACCCTGGGTACTGCATCCGCTACTGCTAAAAGGTGAAAACCGTTTCACCTCCCCCCCTCTGGAAGCCCCCTGAAAAATATTGTACCTTGAAAATTTAATTGCGGATTCGGACAGCTCTTGAAGAGAGCAATAGGAATCTGTCAAAAAAAAAAAAAAAAAAAAAATATTTGGGCACTTTTTTTTAAAAACCGGTTTCCCGGTTCACCCCCCTTGGTCTGGTCCGGCTCCGGTTGGACTGGGGTAGCTCAACCGGCCGGTTGCCAGCCCAGCACTGATAAAATCATATTAAAATGTCCGTTTCGACGAAATCGCTGTTATAAGTTATAACAGCACTAGTTCAATGGTAGCCCGTTTGAACAAATACAGATCTCCTTGGACAAATACAGATCTCAGTTATTGAGAAAGGAACAACAAAGTCGAGAGCACAACGGCGCTGGGCCCTAAAGCTCAAATGGGAATTAAATTCAATTAACAAATCATCCTTTTTTTTTTCTTTTTTTCTTTTTGTAACAAATCATCCATTTGATCCATTCGAGCTCGGAAAACTTGTTGAAAGGGAAAAAAACAAGGTTCAAGTCGCCACTTCGCAACGCTGGCAAGAAAAGAAAAAAGAGTGTAAATGTACTCAATGTATATTTTATACACACGGCGTTGGTTTAAACCACCAGTACTTCCTAGACTCGTGGCCGTTAACGCGCCACGATTTTAGGAAATGTACGGGCTACTACAGGTGCGACCAAATTCATCCGACAAGAAACGTTTCTACTCTTTTTTTTTTTTTCTGCGGCTGATAGCTAGGCCAAGTACTCGTGGAAAAAAGGCCAAGTACTCGTGGTTTAAGACGGGTGAAAAGAAACGAAAGTTCATCCGGCGCGACAAACGTGAGGTTCATCTGGCGCGGCGAACGAGAACAAAGTGAAAAGGACGTCCTACGTCCATCACCGTCAGGAAGCACAAGTGCCAAGGTAACATGTACAGACAACACATTGGTGATTACTAGTAGGAACTTAGGAAGCACAAGTGCCGGAAAAAAAAAAAAAAAAAAAAAAAAAAAGGAGGTCCGACGTCCGTCACCGTCAGTGACCTGGATGACAGCAACATGTATTTTCTAGCAATTGCGAAGAAAAGGAGAAGCCTAGGTGAGTGGGAGAAGATGGTTGGATATCAAGCGTCCTACTAGCGAGGGGGCCAGCTGGTAGGATGGTAATAGGGTACAGCAGCAGCAGAGATGGTGGCTTTGCTGCAGTAAGACTCGCCGGAGGGAGATAAAGAGGATGGAGGGGGGTCTGAGTCGGTAGCTTATTTGTGTTTCTTAATCTAGCTCTTCGCCTAAGCCGGGTAGTGGCGCCGGTATCGCAAGCAAGCTTTCAAAATCCCTTCAAATTTCTATGTAAATTTCTATATGGGACTCTGGGGCCGGTTCCCAGCTCGTGCTGCTCCGCACAAATAGATTGGAGCTTTGTTCCCAGTGAAAAAAAAAAAGAAAAAAAAAAAGAAAAGAAAAGAAAAGAAAAGAAAGAAAGATGGCACGAGGTTCATGGATACTACAGTATTGCACAACTGCTTACGCCCCCCTCCCCTTCTCCTGCCTACCACCTCCTCCCGACCTTCAAATACAACGACGTCACACCTACACCTCTCCCTTCTCCACCCCTCTCCCCACCCTCCTGCCCCCCCTGGGCTTCCAAAACAAGGTGACGCCTACCTCCCCTTTGCCACCTTAATAAACAAGATAACACCTACCTCCTACTCGCCACATTCGAAAACGAGGTGAGACCTACCTCTCACTCCGGACTCCATACCTTAACAAACAAGGCGAGACCTACCTCACCCTCGACACCCATAAAAAACTTAAAAAAAACAGTGAGGTCTCCGAACAATCGGAGAATCACTGTCTCCGCAAGCATCTGGACAACGAAGCGGTAACGCTGTCAAAATAACTCAGATATACTCATTTCCATGTTCAATCTTTACTCCCCTTTTCGGGCCGTGATTCTTGTGTCACGGTCCGTCCGCGAAAGTAGTGCCTAAGCGAAAATCGACAAGCCACAGTGGTGGGAAAAACCGACGGCGGACATTTCCTCGACCACACTCGACATCCAGCTTTCTTTGTTTCTTTAACAAGAAAAGAAAAAACAAACGAAACAGACCCTTATGATGCCGCCTCCTTGTGCATTCTTTGGGAAAACTTCCTGCTTTCTTGAGGAAAAAAAAAAAAAAAAACACTTGTTACGAGAGATTAAAATCTGATCCTCTTGGAAATTCCAATGAATCTAAACAACCTATAAACCGGATGACAGCCGTCCACAACCGTCTACCTTCAACTCAAGTTCTCAGATAAAAGTTAATAAAACTTAATAGACTACAGAGGAACGAGACTGGAATTTATTTGCTGACTAAGCCTGACTTGTTATCGTTACCTTCTAAATAACTATTATTACTAGTACTACTACTATTATTCATTTTTATTATTTTTTACATAATATTCTGATAATAATAATAATAACCTCGTTTTCCCTGTGGAGGACGGCTCTAAACGGATTAATTTTTCAGAAAATTGTAAAGCTCCGAAACTAGTTTGTTGATCTATATCCAGATGATGTGGGCATCTAGCAATTCACCGGCAAAACTCAGAGGTGCCAGCAAGGATTTTTTTTTTTTTTTTTTTTTTTTGGGTGGGGGGGGGGGCACCGAGGATCATGATCGGCAGCCAAAGAAGACGTCGAGAACATAAACAAAATCGGGAAAAGAAAGGCACAAAGGTAAAAAATAAAGCATCTCACCCCTCCTTCCACCCCCCGCCCTCCTTCCCTCCCAACTCCCTTTCTTTCTTTTCCAAGCAAAATCAAAATTGAAAACGCGGATTTCAGATTGTTCAGTGAACTGCACGCAGTAGCGAAGCACAAAAAACTTGGAAAAAACTTCAAAAAAGTGGAAAAAAAAAACACACACACAGTGTGAACTCTCCAGAGTGGAAAGTGGATCCGAATTGAGTCAACAGACCTCCATAGTACACTAGTACAAGAGTCCATACCGAAGGAAGCCTTTTTCTATCTGCGCTAAGATTCAAATCCAATCGCCCTCCTGCAACTTCAGAGGAAGGTACACTTCTGAAAGGTACTGAAAACCGAATGAACTCAATGCCTCTGCACACGAAAGAATACACACACCCGCACACCCACACACC